TTGGAAGGACAGGGCCCCTCGAAGGCTGTGGGCAGACCTGTTCCAGGCGCCACCGCCAGTCAGAGAGGGAGGGAACGGCGGGACCTCAGGGCGCTGAGCCGGTCCTGAGGGCGGCAGAGGCTGGAAGGAGCCGGTGAGCGCGGCCAGGTGGAGCCGGAGCTGGGGAGGCAGGGGCGGACGCGGTCCGTGGAGGGAGCGGTGGTCAGTGGAGGGTTTGGGGCGTGATCCGGGCGCGGTCTGGGCGTGACCTTGAGGTCCAGAGGGGCCGCCAGCGGGTCCCGCGGTCCCACTGCCAGGCTGCCCGCCCCGGCTGCTCCGCCGCTCTGCGTTTCGAGGAAGGCGGGCGCCGGGTGGGCTCGGTTCGGGCTCCCGGCCCCAGGCGGTGGGTCCCTGGCCGCCCCGGGCTCGTGCAGCAGCTCGGCCACTCGCTCTCGGAGCCCGCGCGGGCGAGGTGTTTGGATACCGAGGGACAGGGACGGAAGGTGAGCGCGCGTAGCAGTTGCTATATATAATACATCCTCTTCTTTTGCTCTGAGTTTTTGCACGTGGAAAACTCTTCAAACTGTTGTCCAGGTGTCACAGCTGTAGTGACCGATGCCAAGCATCTGTCAAACCGGTCCTTTCGCGCGCGCGCGCGTGTGTGGTGGGGGTGGGAGGTAGGGATTGGTAAGGGCCCCAGTCTCCCTACCTGTGGTCCTGGAATGTGTCGGCTCCCGCAGACTTTTAGGGACCCGCCGTTCACTCTTTAGGAGAGTTTCTTGAGACTCGGAAATCGAACTTCTATAGAGCCAGAATCCGTTGAATGAATTCCAAGTTGAGCTTCTGAGCTAGGAAAACCACCTGGTGGGCGTGAGCCACAACAGGTGTAGCAGCTTGGGGGCCGTCGAGGGAGGAGGAACCGGCCAAAACTTTCATGCTGCGCACCTGCGGCTGAGCCAGCAATAAGGAATGCGGACACAATTCTTCTCACCTGTAAAGTTGGACGAGGGGCGGGAAAATAAACGGGGGGGGGCATGTCTACACTGACGAAAAATCTGGAAAAGGTGTACTACTAGGAATACTCCCTTCGCAACGGGTGCTTCCTTATTCTACCCTCTTTCATTAGAGCATTTTGTACATTTCTAAGTAATAACTAAGATGCGAAGAGAACGTTGCAGTGCAGTGACGTTACTTTTTCTTCCCTTCCCAGTTTTATGCTGGAGGAGTTCAAGGTCACCTATTGGAGATTAGGTCACCTGTTGGGACTATTTTTACCTGAAGAAAGTGTTTAGAAAGAGTTTATTCCTTTCATCCCCTTTCCTACCCGCCTCCCCATTCACTGCACACTGCTGTTTATTCTTCACCTGGAGAGAAGAACGCAACCATTTTTGTCATAATAATACTTGTGGTTAATTTGGTCTTGTGGTTTTTGTTCCTTAGCTTAGCTTTCCTTCAGTTCCTTCAATATCAAAACGCGCCAGTGGTGTTTTCTGTAAAGAAAGCACAGAGTTGGAGGAGAAAGGAAAACTCCAAGAAGTGGTCTAGTAAAGGGATGATTACTTTTACTTTTTTAAAACTGCAAAAATTGGGACTCTGTTGAATTCCAATATTTTCACCTCTTGTGGGGTGCATATTTTAAAATTATAATTTCTATCAACACACTATCAACTGTTAAGCCTCTCCCTTTGTGAAATCTACTTAAGGGAGTGAATGCCTTAAGAAATCTGAGGTTCTAGTTAATAGAGGCCAACTGTAATAGAAGTGTGTTTACGTTATGGAATAGCTTTATGGAACCTTGAAAATAATGGTATCAGGATTATGCCAAGGTTTTCAGATTGCTGTATTCAGATATCTTTGTGGCTTGAAAAGTCACTTATTCTTTCTGTTATTTAATATTACTTATGATATGTGCTGTCTCTTAGTAATTCTGGCAGTGCATGGTAAAGGGCATCTCTCTGGAGCCCTGTTTTGAGTGTATACTTTTCCCAGTCATTAATATTTTTAGATTTAGTTCTGCTCTACACTGAATCGGGATCAGGACTAAAAGATTCTGTGCATTGAGTTCCAGTACCAAATTAGCTCTGAAGTCCTGGCAAGTCCCCAAATTAGTTCTGGGGTCTTGGCAAGTCCCTTAATATATGTGTGCCATTTTTGTCTTTAAAATAAAGAGATTGTCATTGGTCTTAAAGGACATTCAGTTCCCACAGAACTCTTCTATAAACAGCAAATTCTTATTTCTAGAGCTAGGTATCATGGCTCTAGAGCATCGGTTCTCAACCTTCCTAATGCCGCGACCCCTTAATACAGTTCCTCATGTTGTGGTGACCCCCAACCATAAAATTATTTTCGTTGC